CAAGACGGAAATCGAAAAAATGGAAGAGATGGAATCATTCAGCCTCAAATAGTGAATGGGCAGCGCCAGTAGTGATTGTTCCAAAAAAGATGGATCGCTGAGAATATGTATGTATATAGAGAATTGAACAAGGTGTTCTCATTGATGCATACCGATGCCGCGGGTTGATTGAAATTCTTGCAGGCTTGGCAATTCCAAGGTACATCTCCACCTGGTACTTACAAGGATTATTGGCAAGTCCATAAGTCCTGAGAGTAACATGACAGACATTCATCCACATTTGGTTATTTGAATTTCGAGTTATGCTATGGGATTACACGGAGCTCCTGCTATTTTCAGAGGATGATGACAAGATACTTAAAGGAATGGAAAAATGTGCAGCAGCATTTTTAGATACTCATATATTCAGTGCTACATGGGAGGACCACTTAAAACTTGGGGAATATGACGCGTATCAGTAAGCGGGGCTCACAGCAAATCCAAGAAATGCTCATTGGCAATGAAGAGGCGCATATTATCTGGGACATATTGTTGAGAATGGCAAAGTTCGACCAGAAGCTGACAAAGTGAAAGCGGTCAAGACTTTTGAAGACAGAAGCAAAAAGCAAGTCGCTCATTTCTGGTTTAACGGGATATTACGAAAATATATCCCAGTTATCAAACATCGCGAGCCCATTAACGGACCTCACTAAAAGGAAGTAAAGTACTATCAATGGACAGTGATTGTGAAAACGCATTCAGAAGACTAAAAAAGCTCTATGTTCATCACCAGTCTTGAGAAGCCCTGAACAGCAAGAGTTTTACTACAGACGATGCATCAGATAGAGGATTGGAGCAGTTCTTAGTCAAATGGAGATGACAATGAGCAAACCGTAGTATCTTAGCGCGCAAGTTATTGATCGAGAGAGACGCTATGCGTGTGGAATAGAGTGTTTGGCTATCGTATGGCAATACGAGTTGCGAGTTTATCTATATGGCCGGAAGTTTTCAATTCAGACAGACCATAATGCATTAAAATGGTTGGACCAGATGAAAGAGAAGAACAGCAGGCTAACTAGATGGAGTTTGGCATTACAGATGTATAACTACAGAGTAGAGTATCGGAGAGGACAGGATAACTCAAATGCGGACACATTATCAAGGATTTGAACACGTTGTAAAAAGACAGTCAAAAATGTACCATTTTTGTCTACCGAAGGAGGGGGAAATGTGACGGAGTCACTGAGTGCCACGAAGACACGTGATGAAAACTAACTTAATTTTTAGAAACATTACGTATGCGGTTGTTTTGTTTAAGACTTCCTTTGTTTATTCCCTGCTGACATTGCTTTGTAATTATAATTCATGGTATGATTAGTATGCGTAGAAATTTCTGGAACGTTCGATGGTAATCTCGCAAGTATGATGTAATCACGGTAGGTATTTTTGTAAAGTTACGTAATAATAAGTAGGAGTATAAATTGAGGCTGTGTGCCCGTGAAGGGGGATTCTTTTCTTAGTGGTGGTTAGTGAGTAGAGTTGTAATGATTTTAGTGATTATTTCGGCGTGGTAAAAATTAAAAAGGTCTATTTCTTGCTTCGTGAACTGTTCATGTAATTGTTGCGTTCGAAGCAATATTGAGTTCACGACAATATTTATAAATGAAATCTATGAAAGTAATTATGATTTCTAGTACGTCCTTTCATAGGTTATCGGCAAATAGCATTTTTTTGAGAAATGGTTGATTCGTTCGTAAAAAATAGACTCTTCCACTGCTGTTTGAAATTATACATGCGAACAAGAATCACTCGAATAAATGTGCTCCAAAAACGCTTAGCCAAATCAAATGCTTCCAATCAACTACTATGCCCGTCTACGTAATACAAATCAGAAATCTGCCTTCAGAAACAAATTATTACCTTTCTTTTTCAAAAACCCTCGCGCATATAAACAACTCTCACATGGAATTTTCCAAGGTCTTTTTGGACTCTGCGCAGGGGCCCGGAAAGTATGGCAAAAATCAGGCATGGGAAATGCATTGGATTGAAATGAAACTATATTTAGTTCTAGTAAAAACCTATCAATGGGACATATAAGGGGTGCATAATAAAACACAAATTTACGGAGATACCAACCATATTCTCGTAACAGTTTCACAAGTTCCTGAGCAGTGCAAATCTCATTCTCTTCAACGCTGGCAATAAAACTTGTCTTGCCTCTAATTTCGTCCATGGTCTGATTGAAAAATAAATTTCATCCTTGCAAGTTACATGCAATACTGGATATACGTATAAAGATATAGCTCAAAATAAAATGGGATTCTCAGCTAATTGTGTGCATATAATCAAGCATATAGCTCATTATAAATTAATTAAATTAGTGAACATGCCCTTTCGTGCAGAGTTCTTATCGAATTCTGAGAAAATCTCAAATGACATGATCCTGTAACAAACGCTTTAAAACCCCTTCCACATAGACGCTTACGTGAAAACAGAAAACCCTTGTTTCGTTTCCATTTAGATGAGAAAGCGAACTTTGCAAACGTACTCTAGTGTCTCTAATAGAAGGGGGAGGTAATGGAAGGGGGTGTTTATGTCGACCAGTTCTCAATAGAAGGGGGTTGCTAATAGAAGGGGGTGTTCATGTCGGCCAGTTTTTAATAGAAGGGGGTGCTAATAGAAGGGAGTGTTCATGTCGACCAGTTTTCAATAGAAGGGGGTGCTAATAGAAGGGGGTGTTCATGTCGACCAGTTTTCAATAGAAGGGGGTTGCTAATAGTAAGGGGTGTTCATGTCGGCCAGTTTTCAATAGAAAGGGGTTGCTAATAGAAGGGGGTGTTCATGTCGACCAGTTTTCAATAGAAGTGGGGTGCTAATAGTAAGGGGTGTTCATGTCGGCCAGTATTCAATAGAAAGGGGTTGCTAATAGAAGGGGGTGTTCATGTCGAACAAATGGTTGAAATATCCTTGCTTTGGCAAACTAGATCTGAAGCAATCGACTTCAGATGTACAAATCTGAATTCTGTCGATCCCACATCTCTTAGTCGCATGATGCTAAAGGTTGGATAGAAGTACGATTTAATAAAGCGAATCTTTGTATCATGGAACTTTTGTCTCCTTTCTAGCTCTCATGGATAGCGCTCTATCAGCCTTATAGATTTGTTAGCAGCTGTAAATATCATCAGCTCTACCATCTTCAAAATATATGTCCCTTAGTAGCTCAGGCTATCGACCGCGGTAAGGCAATTTTGCTGCAGTTCTGAAGGCTGAAGGTTGGGCTCTATCCTTTATTTAGGAAAGGACTAACAACGACAAGAAACTGGCCATCCTTTGTCTCCATGCTTTGGCCTATGGGCACGGCTCGCATACAGGAATCGCCTTTACTTTAAGCAAGATAGTTAATGACAAAAAATAAATGATATTTCCAACAATTAATACCACCTTGAATCTCCAAATAGCAAGGAAAAGCGGAAACCTAACATACTGTTGTTCTATACTGTAAGGGTTATTTACCTTGTCTTCGTTGCATATGCAAGTACGATGATGTCATTTTGCAAATAGTAAAGCTGACTGTTCACTCCAATGCCATTGCTTAGATAGAAGGGTTCTTCTGTTCCACGTTTTCCAAGCCAAACAAACACATCCGAAGATAATTTTCGATTAAGGATGAAATCAACGTCGATCAGAATAATTGTTGAGCACTTCGGTCTCACGATTCACCTCAACCAAAGCTCCTACAAAGGGACAACAAACTGCATTGCAACAAACTGGACTCGCCTAAGCTCATTGATCACACAATACAACACCGTTTGAAGGTGGAAGTGGGGTGCTATGGATAAATTGTTTCCAAGCACCGTAAGTGGCAAAGGAACAATGGCGTAATTTTCAAGCATTTTTTTAAGCATTTCACTAAAATGTAATGGGCCAAAATGGGGGTATTTTTGTTAATTTATCATAATTATTTTTCACAAAGACGCAAAAAGTAAGATTTCTGTCTACCAGGAGAGCTACAATTCCTATCACTGGCAAGATAGCCAAATTTAATCCAACCTAACATATCAATTAATTCGAATGCCTTTCCTTGTAAAACACTTTGAGATGTTTCAAAGCACATCGATTGATCCAGAATTATTAAACAGCCATACCCGTTATGTTTGAGAACTGGAAGACAGTTAAAATGTGCGTCTACATATGGTATGTGACTTGGTATGACGACTTATATAGCAATATATGCTAGGGTACATATTTAGCAGATAACAGAAACATAACATCAGTTGTATTTTTGCGAAAAAATTTCTATATTTTTAAATATAATCTATGAAAGTAATTATGATTTCTAGTACGTCCTTTCATAGGTTATCGGGAAATAGCATTTGTTGAGAAATGATCGATTCGTTCGTAAAAAATACACTCTTTCACTGCTGTTTGAATTTATACATGCGAACAACAATCCCTCAAATAAATGTGCCTCAAAAACGCTTAGCCAAATCAAACGCTTCCAATCGACTACTGTGCCCGTCTAAGTGATACAAATCAGTAATCTGCCTTCAGAACTCTCACATGGAATTTTCCGAGGTCTTTTTGGACTCTGCGTAGTAGACCGGAAAGTATGGCAAAAATCAGGCATGGGAAATGCATTGGATTAAAATGAAACTATATTTAGTTCTAGTAAAAACCTATCAATGGGACATATAAGGGGTGCATAATAAAACACAAATTTAAGGAGATACCAACCATATTCTCGTAATAGTTTCACAAGTTCCTGAGCAGTGCAAATCTCATTCTCTTCAACGCTGGCAATAAAACTTGTCTTGCCTCTAATTTCGTCCATGGTCTGATTGAAAAATAAATTTCATCCTTGCAAGTTACATGCAATACTAGATATACGTATAAGAATACAGCTCATGATAAAATGGGATTCTCAGCTAATTGTGCGCATATAATCAAGCATATAGCTCATTATAAATTAATTTAATTTGCGAATATGCCCTTTCGTGCAGAGTTCTTATCGAATTCTAATAGAAAGGGGGTGCTAATAGAAAGGGGTGTTCATGTCGGCCAGTTTTCAGTAGAAGGGGGTTGTTAATAGAAGGAGTTGTTCATTCCGGCCAACTTTCAATAGAAAACGGGGTGCTAATAGAAGAGGGGTGTTCATGTCAACCAGTTTTCAATATAAGGGGGTTGCTAATAAAAGGGGGTGCTCAGGTTGGCCAATTTTCAATAGAAGGAGGGTGCTAATAGAAAGGGGTGCTCATGTCGGCGAGTTTTCAATAGAAAGGGGTTGCTGATAGAAGGGGGTGTTCAGGTTGGCCAATTTTGAACAAAATGCCAGTAAACTTCAATAGCAAAGGGGAGCTAACAGAAGGAGTGGATGTTGGTAAATCTTTCATTTAAAGGCAGTGGAATTATTAGGATGGCGGCACTGGTTACTTGATAATGGATAGATTGTTAGAGATAAGGATAGACAAACATAAGCGCAAATTCTTCTGAAATTAATACACGGGGGGCCCGTCTATTAGAGACACTAGAGTATTTGTGAAGACGCTGCCACTTAATGGCAAGGGATATATCATGGAGATTAGGTTTACTGAGCAAGGTGTTCTTATAATCCAAGAGTCAATTATACAAAAATATACACATCTTCCTGCGCAAAAAGAATCGTAATGTAATATGATACTACGTAATATTACCTCCGCTGAAAATTTCAGATTTGGGAAATGAATAGGAAACAAATTTTTCTTTACGTTTAGTGAATTTGGTGAAAACAAATTTTCTATCACGGTGAGCTTATTTTTAAGCAAGTTTTCATATGGAAAATATCCAAACAAAATAATTTTTTATTCTATCAAGGGGAACAAACAACAGACATGAAAGTAGAAAATTCATTATTAATCAAATTAATGCAACTTTTTATAATGACACAACCCAAAGAATAATATGCACTTAGAAAATTTTCTAAATCATTGAAAGTAAAGTTAATGTAGCCCCCGTCCAGGGTGAACGACTTTCTAAGCAACATACATTAACTGCTGTCTTACCGGTTGATATCATACGGAGGATACTGTAGACAACATACCTTGAGCCAATGGGAGAAGCAGGAAATGAAATGCTTAGCCTCTATCGTGTCGTCAGTCATGAACAGCACATTTCTGTACCGCTTAATCTGAAAATGGTAATCATATATGTTATGTGGAAATAAAATCATTACTGTCATCAACAGTGGGTGTATTTTCAAACAAGTTAAAAACTTCAAACTATAACAAAAATTCAAGCTATAAGAATAGCTCACCAATCTGCAATATTCTTGTAACGAAGTATTTTCTAAAGACGTAGAGTATGCCACTGAATCAAATGTTGAAGTTGTTTCATCTGAAAAGCAATGATTAAGAAGTGTTGTCACCGTTTGGACAAAAGCTTTAGGACAATGAAAATTGCAAACGATTAATCAATTTGTCGTTACGAAAATCAAACTAGACACCTCTAATCAGAGATAAACAATTATTGAGAATATTGTTAAGAATATATATAAACTTTATCAAATAAAGAAAACCAAACAAGAGCATTTTTCGTGCAGTTATCAACTACAACGTAAAAGTGCATTAATAAAAAATCCTTTTATGTTTGACCATAACTTAAAAGCAAAAATTTAGGTGCATCTTTAATCTAAAAAGAAAGGAAAGAGGATAGATTGACCAAGCTCTCAAAATAAGTTAAAATATGTTTAGGGATAACTCATATTCAATCTTAAAACAAGTGGTGCTCTCTCCTCGATTAGCCCAACTACTCAGAGAGTCCCTCCTTAAGGAATTCCCCTTCATACAACTTGATATGTAGGCTATTATTTCTCTGTTGTTTTTAGATTTGTGTTTAATTTGTATTGTGTGTAGTATTGTATTAATGTAACTGATAAATTGTATGTAGTTGAATTTTTAAAATAGGAGACGGAAACTAAAAAATAGGAGTTGTCCTGAAAAGCAAGTTCGAAACTTTTTTAATGTCTTCCTAATCATGTATTAACATTTCCAATGATACGGATCTAACTAGCCGGAGGTTTTAGCATATTTCTTTTAACTGTCCTTTCTGAATGTTGATGACACCATATCAAAAAAGGTAATGAATTTGAAAATGTAAGGTAACGTAAGTTAAATTTTTTGTGGTATTCCAATTGCATACTCATTTGATGAATTACGTAGTCACTCTAACACTGGGATTTTTCTTCTAATAAAATCAGTACCAGATCAATTTGTGGTTGACGTCAGTAAAAACTGGCGATGGACAAGAACAAATCTGGGGGATTTCTTCACTTTCAATAAGAATTCGGAAGAACTTCTGGAACTAATTCGATGATTTCAGCCAATAAATTGTTTGATTTCATTTGACGGAGGGAGGCTCCCTACAAGGACCGAAACTCGTGAACGTTTTCTAAAGCGAGTTGAGACTCTTGGAGGGGAAAAAAGGTTAACATGTTGCAACAGTACCTTTGAGACGAATGGTCAGGTAAGGTTTCGATCTATCTTGCCATGCTGCTGTCCAAGGCGTGATACCTGCAGGAAACCCTGTAGGCGTCCAGGCAACAGATCCTAGCTCAAATCGAATGACGCTTGACTGGAAAATTGCTGTAAAACGGAAAAAGGCTAAGAAACTGGCAAAACACATCGGAAGTTTCAAGGGATGTTGAAAAAGTTGAAAAATCTTGAAATGTTTCAAAAATTTTTTTTTACTCAAAACAACCTAAAAAGCCTCAAGTTACGTTCTGAACACCATTTCAGGTCGTTTCTGTGAAATTTATGCTGATTTTTTGAAAATAAGGACTTTGTAATTTTTGAAAAAATTCATGACCCTGGACCTGCAAGAAAGTTGAAAAATCCTGAAATTTTTCAAAAAATTTTTTTTACTCGAAACAACCTAAAAAGCCTCAAGATACGTTCTGAACGCCATTTCGGGTCGTTTCGGTGAAATTTAAGCTGATTTTTTGAAAATAAGGACTCTGTGATTTTTGAAAAAAGTCATGACCTCAGACCTGCAAAAAAGTTGAAAAATCTTGAAGTTTTTCAAAAAAATTTTTTTACTCGAAACAACCTAAAAAGCCTCAAGATACGTTCTGAACGCCATTTCGGGTCGTTTCGGTGAAATTTAAGCTGATTTTTTGAAAATAAGGACTCTGTGATTTTTGAAAAAAGTCATGACCTCAGACCTGCAAAAAAGTTGAAAAATCTTGAAGTTTTTCAAAAAAATTTTTTTACTCGAAACAACCTAAAAAGCCTCAAGATACGTTCAGAATGCCATTTCGGGTCGTTTCGGTGAAATTTATGCTGATAATTTGAAAATAAAGAGTTGGTGATTTTTGAAAAAGTCATGCAAAAAAGTTGAAAAATCCTGAAATTTTTAAAAAAATTTTTTTTACTCAAAACAACCTAAAAAGCCGCAAGATACGTTCTGAACGCCATTTCGGGTTGTTTCAGTGAAAATTATGCTGTTTTTTTGAAAAAAAAGGGTTGTTGATTTTTGAAAAACTTCATGACCCCGGACCTGCATAAAAGTTGAAAAATCCTGAAATTTTTCAAAAAAATTTTTTTACTCGAAACAACCGAAAAAGCCTCAAGATATGTTCTGAACGCCATTTTGGGTCGTTTCCGTGAAATTTATGCTGATTTTTTGAAAATAAAGACTTTGTGATTTTTGAAAAAAATCCTGACCTAGGACTTGCAAAAATGTTGAAAAATCTTGAAATTTTTCAAAAATTTTTTTTTACTCGCAACAACCTAAAAAGCCGCAAGATACGTTCTGAACGCCATTTCGGGTCTTTTCGGTGAAATTTATGCTGATTTTAGGAAAAGAAGGACTTTGTGATTTTTGAAAAAATTCATGACCCCGGACCTGCAAAAAAGTTGAAAAATCTTGAAATTTTTCAAAAATTTTTTTCCCTCGAAACAACATAAAAAGCCTCAAGATACGTTCTCAACGCCATTTCGGGTCGTTTAGGTGAAATTTATGCTGATTTTTTGAAAATAAGGAGTTGGTGATTTTTGAAAAAATTCATGACCTCGGACTTGCAAAAAAGTTGAAAAATCCTGAAATTTTTCAAAAAAATTTTTTTACTCGAAACAACCTAAAAAGCCACAAGATACGTTCTGAACGCCATTTCGGGTCTTTTCGGTGAAATTTACGCTGATTTTTTGAAAATAAGGAATGGGTGATTTTTGAAAAAATTCCTGACCCCGGACTTGCAGAAAAGTTGAAAAATCCTGAAATTTTTGCAAAAAAATTTTTTTACTCGAAACAACCTAAAAAGTCTCAAGATACGTTCTGAACGCCATTTCGGGTCGTTTTGGTGAAATTTATGCTGATTTTAGGAAAATAAGGAATGGGTGATTTTTGAAAAAATTGATGACCCCGGACCTGCAAAAAAGTTGAAAAACCTTGAAATTTTTCAAAAAGATTTTTTTACTCGAAACAACCTAAAAAGCCTCAAGATACGTTCTGAACGCCATTTCGGGTCGTTTTGGTGAAATTTATGCTGATTTTAGGAAAATAAGGAATGGGTGATTTTTGAAAAAATTGATGACCCCGGACCTGCAAAAAAGTTGAAAAATCTTGAAATTTTTCAAAAATTTTTTTTTCCTCGAAACAACCTAAAAAGCCTCAAGATACGTTCTGAACGCCATTTCGGGCCTTTTCGGTGAAACTTATGCTGATTTTAGGAAAATAAGGAGTTGGTGATTATTGAAAAAATTGATGACCCCGGACCTGCAAAAAAGTTGAAAAATCTTGAAATTTTTCAAAAAATTTTTTTTACTCGAAACAACCTAAAAAGCCTCAAGATACGTTCTGAACGCCATTTTGGGTCGTTTCGGTGAAATTTATGCTGATTTTTTGAAAATAAGGAGTTGGTGGTTTTTGAAAAAATTCATGACCCCGGACCTGCAAAAAAGTTGAAAAATCTTGAATTTTTCAAAAAAAATTTTTTACTCGAAACAACCTAAAAAGCCGCAAGATACGTACTGAACGCCATTTCGGGTCTTTTCGGTGAAATTGATGCTGATTTTAGGAAAAAAAGGACTTTGTGATTTTTTAAAAAAGTCATGACCCTGGACCTGCAAAAAAGTTGAAAACTCTTGAAATTTTTCAAAGATTATTTTTTACTCGAAACAACCTAAAAAGCCTGAAGATACGTTCTGAACGCCATTTTGGGTCGTTTCGGTGAAATTTATGCTGATTTTTTGAAAATAAGGAGTTGGTGGTTTTTGAAAAAATTCATGACCCCGGACCTGCAAAAAAGTTGAAAAATCTT